TTAATAGTGTTATGTCAGTTACTTATTTAATGAAATAAAAATAAAAATAAAAATAATAATAAAAATAAAAATAAAAATAATAATAATAATAAAAATAAAAATAAAAATAATAATAATAATAATAATAATAATAATAATAATAATAATAATAATCATCATCATCATCTATAACGTATAACATATACAAAAGCGATAACTTGATTTTGTGTGCACATTATTTTTAGACGATTTCACTATAAGTGCGTTTGAATGAAAAATTTAAATGAAATAATTCATTTCTTTAAAGAATTTTAAATTCTTTGAAATAAAATATTTTGTTTTGATGAAGAATTTACAAAGAATTTGAAATTTAAATATTTTTAAAATTTCTTAAAATAGTAGAATTTTAAATTTTTTCTAAAATAGTAAGAATTTGAAATTCTTCAATTTTTTTTTCTTATTTCACTTATATATTTTTATTTTATCTCTTATCTCTTTATACTTTTAATTATTGAATATTCAAAAATATTTTTAAAATTATTAAATATTGTTTCTTTAAAATAATTATATATTTGAAAATTGGCTAATATTTATTTTTATAAAATTTAATTTAAAAATCTCAATATATAAATATATTTTTAAAATTAATTTTACCATGATGGAATCAAATTATCATATCCAAACTAAAAATTTAAATTTTAAAAAATTGAATTTACTTATTCAAACAAAATATTTTAATAATGATAAAAATTGAAATCAAAATAATTCAAATACAAAAAAAATTAAATTCCTTAAACCTCTAAAATTCATCATCCAAACACATCCTTAAATTTTTAAATAATAAAAATAATATTAAAATTTAATTATCTTTACAAACACAAGACTCAAACTTAAGATCTTAAGATTTGAAAATCAAGTATAACATCAATTAATCTAACAAATATTGATAATTTTAAATACTTTTATTAAATAAAATATAGACACATGAAGTATCTCAATCCTACTACTAATAATAATAGTAATAATAATTTATAACATATATAAAGACAATAACTTGATTTTGTGTATGTACTTTTTAGATGATTCTAGTCTTAAATTTTTAAGTAATAAAAAGATAATATTAAAAATAATTATTTTTACAAAGATAAGACTCAAATTTAAGTCAATATTTAAAAATCAAGCATAATGTGACACCCTTCTACCCCATAATAGATAAGTAACGTTTTTCTCTTGCTGACCATTGACAACCCCGGAGGAGCTCTTTCAAAACGACATGGGGCTCCAAATCCACAAACGCTCCCGGAAGAGCTCTCTTGAAATGTGGTGGTGCTCGCGTGAGTTCGTCGCCGAAGGGAAGACC